ATAAATATCTCTTTTTTTCAAACACTAAAACGATTATCACAGTCAGTTTCATTATCACTGAACTTCGGTTATTTACTTCGTCGCTATCCATTCTTCAGTAAACCTTTCCGAATCGTCGCCTTAGTGATTGTCACAATAAGCTTCTTTTTTTCGAAATCCCGTTTTTTCAGTTTCATAAATTCCCAACACGGCTTTATCTCATCACCGTCCTTGATTATCACAGTCGGCATCGTTGTCGTCAAAGATTTTGTTACTATTTTTATTGTTAACAATTCTTGTAAAATCGTCATCACCGCAGGCAATAGCAAAGAGTGCTGTCTTTGTTGAAATTTCTGTCAGTACTGATCAAATTTTGTTCAAATTCGTGTCATCACCGCTCTTTCAGTGCTTATCGTAGTAAGCCTCCTTTATCATTAAACTTCGCAACGTTGTCTTGGTCCTCCCAAATTCCTGTACATTTATGTCACCAACATATCCTTATTGATTATATTCGTCGACCACATTATCGTCAAGAATTCTCGCACACTCTTTATCTTCATAAATTTTTGTGTAGTTTTCTTCGCCCTCATAGCAATTTTGTAGTTCTCTTCATCCTCATAGCAATTGTCTCAGACGCATTTTTGCCAGTACCTTCATTCTGATATCTTTGTATTATCAGCTTCATCTTGGTGATTATCATGGACAGCCCGTTTTCGTCAAAAATTCTGTTGTTTCTCCTTTACTGCTTTATCATTTCCTTTATGACTATCATAGTGAGCATTCTGTTACCAGCAAACTTTGTTATCGCTTTTTTGCGTAACATCATCATCCTCCTTTTATAGGGATTATCATAATCAGCTCGATTTTCACTAAAAATCTCCGTCATCGTCTTCATCATCCTCGTCAATTTTCCTTCATTTTTTAGGTAAGAACTCGCTTAGTGAATGCATATTCGCCACGCAAATTTGCCAACATTTTCATTGCCATAAATCCTTCTAGCGCTGTGTAGTCAGCTTTTACCGTCCTCCAGATCTTTCAGTCTTCTCCCTCGTGTGCCACTAATTTCAAAAAATTCTGCCAACTGCTACCTCCAAAACGATGCGCTTTCATCGCATTTTCCACTGTCTCCCATTGCTAGTCCACTGTCCATTTTAGCTCACTTCCATGGCTTCTCGCTCATCAGTATTGCTGTTTCTTTTCCACTGCTGTCCACTCGGACACCTTCAGCCATCTTCGTATTTCCAGCAACTTCTAACTCTTTCTGTGTTATCATCCTGCAGGTCGTTCAGAAGTTTGTTCCTGACTAATAGTTTTCCTTGCCGTTGTCCACTCATGGTACTCCAACGAAAGTACTGGAATTGCAAGTACTTCAATTTAAATGCCAATAATAAACACAATTCAGTGGCGGAAGCGATAATTTGGTCGAAC